ATCTACTATCTAGCGAAACCACAGCCAAGGGAACGGGCTTGGAAAAATCAGCTTCCTTAGGATTAACCACTCAGTCACTGAGACACTCTGTACAGCCATCACATTCTTTCAGAGCTATACATACCTAATCTTATAAGTGGGTAGTCTAGGCTGGTCACTTAACTATTTTAATTACTTTCAATACATTTACATTATATAAACTTTGTGCATTCAAATACAAAATGCCACAACCCCCAAAAAAAAATGTTTCATATGTGAAACACAAATTTTTCCCCTGCTGTTTGACTGGAAATATAAATTACAATTCGTTTTCTTTTATTGTATTCATCTTTAAAATAGATCAGATTATTACTGAATTCAGAAAAATAAAAATGAAGCTTAGTTTCTGGCTTTGTTTAAACCCACCTATTTCTTCTCCCGGAAGTTTGTCCAGCTGAAAAACAGAACCCATAAGATATGGAGATTCTTGTACCAAGCCTTCTAGTCTGAAACGACAAAGTCCGGTAACTAAAAGAGTATAAGCAACCTTAGGCCAATTAGTTCCAGTTACTTGCACCACTATTCCAGCAGTACCAATACGATGCATTGCTGACACATCCTCCTAAAGACCAAAACATAAATATGATCAGCATCTGGATGGGAGGAGCTGAATGTTTCTTTCAGATCACAAATTAAATGTAATGTCACTGCCTCAAGAAAATACAAATTAAGAAGTTAATTATTACAAATATTCAAGATTTTTCAGATCACCAAGCTTTTATTGGCTCAAGTCAAGCTTTTAGTCTAATACAAATAATGCTACAAAGATACCTTAAAAAACAATCCTGTTAGCCTGAACAATTCAGTAAGCAATGGTAATAAAATGTGAAAACAGAAACAATACTATCTTAATAAACTAAAAAACTATATAAACCTTCAGAGTATAATACAAGAAATATTACAAAGATACCTTAAAAAAGCAATTCTATATGTCTTAACAATTCAATAAGCAATGCAAATAATATTACTTAACAAAACAATTATACCAAAAGCAACAGCAATAATACTTTAACTTACTTAACAAAACAATTATATCAAAAGCAACAGCAATAATACTTTAACTTACTTAACAACTAAGCCAAAAGCAACATCATTATCTAATTTCAAAACACAAAGTACACTAAATGGCCACTTTATTAGGACTTCAAGCACTGATTTTAAAGAACATTCCATTTATTTGCATGTACAAAATAAATTGGTCCTGTGATGTACCAGGTGGCTGCTTTAGTCATCTGTTGATTTCTCTTGAAGATAATAACAAACTCTCTATTTTTAAATGAGCATAATGCCTCACCTATTAAAGAGGAGTGTCACTGCTGCAGATTGTTTTTTGAAAAGTTCTTCAAAGACATTTCCTATTCCTACTTAAAGTTTATCATTATTGACAAATGAAGGGGAAAATATGTACCATTAGGGAAAACAGCAACTGACAAAGAGAAAAAGTGATAGAAAAGGCTTTCAAAGTGCAACAGAAGTCAGAGTGTCTTTCAGCTGATCATTTCCTTCAAGAGAGCCAGAATTTTATTAACTCCAAATGTAGAAGTTATTAAAAATATAAAAACTAGAACATGGCAGCTGAAAACCAGTCTGAAAACCTCTTTAACTCACAAGCAAACATGAGAGCATAGTTTAAATAGCACTTAGAGTGCAAACTGTAGACAATAAATGACTTGAAAGTGATGTGGTCTAATGAGAAGCAATTCACCTTTTTGTGCATTGATGGCAGAATAGAAAAAAATGTGAAAAAAAACACACACATGAAGCATTTGGTTCTACTTGTACTTTACAACAGTACAAACTGTTTGAGGTGGTTTAATGGTTTAGAAAATGTCCTCCTAACAGTCAAGGGGCCTTTCAATTCTTTAAAAGGAGACAGCTGATTGTGTTACCTGTTTTTCTTGTTGATTTAAATTTACAAACCTCTATTACTCACTGGCTCACAATCACAATGCAACAATTCAATGCCCTCATATTGGACAAAACTGATTTAAATTCACCAGATTTCAATCTGATTAATCCTTTTCGGGATAGTTTTGAAAATTTTATTTGCCACAATAACCCTCTGTCAATGAATGTGAACTACCTGCAGACCATACTCCTTGATGAATGGATTATGTGTACAATACAACAACAATTCAATGCCCTCATATAGGACAAAACTGATTTAAATTCACTAGACACACATTTTTGAATCACGTGAAATTACTGCCATACCTTCCACATATCATTATTACCCTGAAAGTTGGAACAATCCAAAAAATAAAGTGGATAGCCAGTTATATAAGTACCAGAGCAATGTTTTGATTACTCCAAATAAAAGCAGTATCTTATTAAACAATACTATTACACAGCAATATCTTATTCATATAAAAATTGATATACAAGGATTACTAACATTTTTTTTTCAATAATGTATATCACTATCAAAATGAATAGCAAGAAACAAATCCTTTTAAAGTAATAGTGCATAATTAATCACAAAATAACCCAAGTTCTTTCAGAAGGTAGACCTTCTTCTTTCAAGGCTTGGTCAAGAACACATGGAAGTTTCTTAATTTGAAATTCATCTAGCTTTTGATACTATGTGATTCCTTATTAGCACGTGAGTATAATTACTAAAAGAGGAGAAACACTATTGATTACTGTGTAACAAAAATGTGAGTTTATATATTTAGTACACAGAGGCTCAATATTAATATGATTTAATGCAAGTGACAATTTAGAAACTAATGAAATATTACTGCATGTTTTCTCTTTATTATAAGGATTTTCTCTGCAAACCACAAACAGCCATGTAGTTATCATGACTTTTTTTGTTGTTGTTGATTTAAATTTACTTACCTCTTCATCACTCCCTGGTTCACGAGGTACGATCCCAATAATAGCACTGCTTAATGTATTCCTACTTAACAAATGGTTCTTTACTAAGCTGAGGCTGCAAACAACAAAGTTGATTATACACACATACCTATGTATTTCAAAACAGTGAAACATTATTAAATATTATAAAACCTAAAATGCTGATTTATCAATCAAATTATTCATACTTCAATTAGTTATTTCTCTATTTAAAACTATTAATAGTAAAGCAGTAAGTAAAATATACACAGAAGATAAGGTCACTTATATTGGCACTGATTTATATCACCATTGTAAAATTAATATATTATATTAAATTTACACTTAAAAATAATATAAGTAAAATACAATACAGAGGGAGGGAATCATTGGTAATTTGCATTAATAATGAGACTGTACCTCAACAGAAAACCAGCTTAATATTTCATGAAAACATAACAGTGAACAAAATTAAAACTACTCAAGTGTATGTAGAACATATACATATATAATATATAAATCAGCTTTACCTAAAATCAACTTAACAGGATAAAAGTACTTAGTTTCAACAGCTACTTCTACACTAGTCTTCCAAATCTATACTGTATGTGTCCTACTCTACACAGACTCTAAAGTTCAGTCAGCCAAATTTATTTATCCGTTTCCATTTGTTGATAAAAAATGAGGTTTAACAACTTACACAGTTTTACTGACAAGGAAGTAAAAGTATATACAAACTACGACATAAAAGCTTACCACTGGAGTCTTTGGTCACTGTCAGCATGCTGACTGTTATTCTAAATATAATTCTTAATTAAACAAAAAATATGAAAGTGCTAATATTGAAAGTTTTGGGGTTCGTCCATGGAAAATGATGAAAATAAATGAATGGGATTGGGTTTGTTTTTTTGCCAGAAAAGATCTTCATAGATGATATATCAGACTAATTGATACACTCTTATTTTCAACAGTCTTTCTGACAGTAATATTGATTATGGCATAAATTAAATTATGCTGTTAAAAGAAATGGGAGTACTATTATGAAAGACTTTTAGTACTAAGGATATTTATCTCAATTTCTGTTGGAATTGTTGGAAACTTTAGCACGTATTGTACGTTTCAAATAGTTGCTCATATTGAAGAAAAAATACAAAAAAATGCATATTTAGTCTATTTTAAAAACAAAACAAAAAAGGAAATATAAATCTACTAATATGACATTTTTTAAAGCAAAATGGTAAAATATGCAGTAGGCTCAGTTATCTTAAAACCAAGCATTAAATTAATTATCTTGTTCTTTAACGTTGCTGTTGTTTTGAAAACTATGAAACATCTTATTCAGTAATGTACAAAGATTTGTAAGGTACTGTCCAAACACCACAAATGATAGTTCTTCAATTTTCAAAATTCTTAGTTATTCCAGAACAATGAGCCAGAAAAGACTGTCTACTAGCAGAATACAATTGCCCAAACCAATCTATATATGACAGAAATTTTATGTATGCTGCAACGTATGAATGTTAGATGTGTCATCAAACCTTTGCTTCTATTAAAATTTGCACCTCTTTTATCTCTATATTAAGTGAAAATTTTGTAAAAAAAAAGGTAAAAAATAATAATTCTGATATTTAATTGCATGCATTTGTGTAGGATGAAGTCTAAAAGTACATAACTGATTATGCACTGAAATAAAAACAGTGTACAAGAGGCATGTTTGGAATTATGCAATATAAACAAACAACAAATAACTGGATGCACATTTAGATCACAAACACAAACAATTACAGCTAAAAAATATAGCTGTTTTACTAAATACAACAGAAAATCAAGCAGAAATTATGAATATAAATTTTCCATACATTTTTATTATGGTGGGAAAATTATATGTAACTGTGTACAATGAAGGTTGCATTTCAGAATCATTACAAAGTAATGTTGCATGTTAGAAACAGAAAACTTGAAATCACTAGCCAACACTGTTGGACCCTTATTAAATCATTATACCATGTGTTCAGTTAAAACAAATTAATACATCACCTTCACTGAATATATATCAGAAAATAATTACAATTTATTTACAAATAGTGGTGAAACCAAACAATGATACAGAAATAAATCACAATGTAAAAAACAGTATGAAAGAAAATTTTTTTTAATTTATTTTCTATATTTCAAGCAAAACTTATTATAAATTACTTATATAGTACATGTGAGCATCCTTTATCACTGTAGGCTTTGTTGTTTTTTTTTACTAAGTATTACTGTCATTTAACATTCCCAAAAGAACAAAATGAAAATGGCAAAATTAATCTGGAGTATAAATTGAGAGGAGCTACTGTGCGATATAAAGACCCAAATTATTTGTAGGGTCATATATATTTAAAGACTGAAATCAGTAAAGTTCCAATAATTACCTGAAATGCCCTAGAGGATTCATATTATATGTCATTATACAAACTGCTTTTATAACAAGTTGTTTTCTGAGAAAGAAATATCTTTTCTAATAGTGGATAACTTTGTCAAACTTTCTGTGACAGTGTAAGCAATAATATTAAAATCATGTTTTATTTTTGTAAAAAGAATGCTTAAACAGAAAAAATTCTGTTTTGATGAATTATTATATTTGCTCATATTCAATATCTTTAATGCAATACAGATTAAATAAAATCAGGTGCATATATTTCCAATCAGTACAATCAATGTTATGTACACATAAATGTATAGTGTATAAACACTAATGCAAAGACAGAGCTAGTAAAATTATAGTTAATAGAGATGACAGTTTAAAATAAAGGAATAATAATATTCTCTTATTATAGTTAATAGAGATGACAGTTTAAAATAAAGGAATAATAATATTCTTTTTGAGGTAAAATTTGGCATAACACAAAACTACAAATGGAGTTAAGAGGAGCCTTGAAACTAAGGTTGGAATATATTCTGAGTATCCATAAAATGAGGGGTTGGGGCACACAAGGGGTAGTTGCACCATGGCTACCAGCAAGAGCCAAAAAAAGTCTAGAGGCCAACAAGAACAAGGAAAAAAGTAAATGGGCGACATCAATTCATGATTCAAACACCTCTGTAACGCCCATAAACATACCCAAGGGACGAAAGAAAAGGAGACTGATGTAACTCACAGAGGGCAACAGCAGGTAGACAAATTCTCTCTAGCAAGATATTTCTTCTCAGTAAATCCCAACAACATACAAGCCAGGAAACCAAAGAAAAAACAGAAGCAGGGAATTGGGCCAAGGTAGAAGTCAGTAGGAAATCCCATTCATCCTTAAGTTGATGTGGGGACCCTTGATAGGCTTCCAACAAATTTTTGGGGGGAAGAAAAATATCTCAGAGCAAGAGTAAGGGTCAAACAAATGCAAGAAGTTGTGATTTGTTCAAAGTGATCACATGGTTCAGTTTGGAACCCCACATATCCAAAAAATGATCTACTTTGTGGAATCGAAATATACATTCACCTTGCAATGGTAAGTCAAAGCCTCCTAACAGATAAACGAGAGTACAAGGTATATCTATCCCATCATGTAATAAAGCAGTAAATCTCCCAGCATGAACTAGCAATATCAGATGAAGGAGGAAAACTAAGTAGTCTCCCCCCTGACTTTTCCCCCATCAAGGAAGGAGTAGATTCAAAAGCCACTGAGGAAAGCTCCAAATCTCACAAACCTGAGTGACTAATTGAAGAAAAGGAGCAGGAGGTGGTTGATCTAAATTGACCTTGTGAGAAGCCAACTGAAAGTAAAAAAAAAAAAAAAAAAACGAAAAGTACCAAACTCTTACCCTACGAGGGTAC